AAGCACAGCAGATAAATCAGAACACAACCAAGCAGCAGGCAACAAGGAGTAGGAATAGCTGGACCCAAAACCCCCAATATAGTTTGCGCTCCCTCTTACTGACTCAATACAGTTTAAAAGCACTAATATACTTGATACAAATATGATTCTTTTGACTTACAGGTATTAAGAGATTCCAGATCTCCATTAACTAACAAAAAGAGCTGTTTGAGTAACTGTTGAAACTCCTAGCGTTACAGAGCACTGGGTATAGAGTTTTGCTTTAGTTCTCCCTGCAGACAATTCGGGGCCTGTCTTCCTAACTACAAGCTGGCGTCACTGTTTTCACCAAACAAGAAATAGACTTTTGCAGCATATAAAAAGTCACCAAATGACCAAGGACAGATACACTCTGATGTACAGAAGGCAAAAAACCCCACAGTTTAATCTTTATATAAAGCCATTTTAAAGATATAATTTAAAAATTCCTTAATTCCAGGAAGTTCAGAAAGACACTATTCTGCATAATCTAAACCATAGGTCTCCTAACCTCAGTGGAAAAGTAAGAAAGTTTTGAACAAAAGCCCTCCTAAAATTTGATCACTGCTTTAAAACAGTGCAAAGAATCTGCAGATATATGAATTTCAAGCTTCATTGCTATAAGGATTCAAAAGTTTGCCTACACATATTGAAAATAATCAAAATAGTGATTCAAGAGTACATAATTCTGTTTGTGTATCCTTTGATGTTTGAGTCGAGACTCTTGGGCTACTTTGAAGTAAGCATTCTCCTGCCTGTTCGATCAAGCCATAAGAGATTACTAATCAACAGATGAAATGAAAAAAGCCCTGACCTGCTCTACTTTACACTTAATTTTACTTCTAGCTTTAACCCTTCCAGCTTCTGATCTCTCTCTCCCTTTCAGTCTGTGGCACTTCCCACTTCTTTTAATACTCAAATGGCTACTTCGAGCCACTGGGAAAGGAATGTCTTCAAGGAAAAGTATAGGATTTGGCCCAGAATACATAAACATTCAAAAAGGGGAAAAAAGAGTAGTAGCTGGAAGGTACAAAATTGGCTGACCTATAATCCCAGTAACAATATTTGCAGAGAGTTCCATTGAGGGGAAAAAAAAAAAAACTTGAACAGGTCTGCCAGAAACCAAGTTAAACAAGCCAGGCTCTTCAACTTTTTAGGATTTATTTCCCAATTCCCACACAAAGTAAATGTTTTGCCAAAAAAGCATACATACAGAATCAGAGTCTTGTTTCCCCTCTCCAGAAAGCATCCAAGACAGGGCAGGCTAAAGGCTACAGGAAAAAAGCCATGAACGTCAAACAGCTTCTACTGTACCAGAAGTCTAAGACTGTAAACCAAAAACCTTACCTCACACCTCACTGGGCATGGAAGTTTCCAGATCCTTAAAGAAAACTCTACCTTGGTTAGCTCTTTCTTCAAGACCTCACAGTATTTAAAATGTTTGGCTAAATCAAACATTAGGATTAATAGAAGAGTAAACTGTGTTGTGAAGCTCTCTGATCAGAAGCTGTCCTCCTTGAAAGGTAAACTTCTTCAACGCAGTGTGAAATACTCCAATCCATTTAACTATTTCTGTATTCCTTAGACATCAATGCTGGCTATGCATTAAATGTCACCCATGTGAAACAGTTAAGCAGCAAAGGAAGTTTATGGAAGCAGTCACACGAAATGAAGATTCCTTAAGGTGTAATTTTCCAAGCTCATCCTCAAGGCGTAAGACCATTTCACTCAAACCAAAAATCATGTTGCTCTGCTATTTGCCAGCATGTGACAAATACTAAGTAAGTATGAGAAAAATAAGACACAACACTAGCACACTCAGGAAAATCTGCCACAGCAAAAGCTAGACAAAGCTAAAAAAGTATGAACCTTGGCTGAATCTTCTTTGTTGCGTCGGGACCACCATGTCCCAACGTGGGGTGTTGGACAACGGCCTCCAGCTGCATCAGGGGAGGTTCAGATTGGATATTAGGAAAAAATTTCTTTACTGAAAGAGTTGTGAATCATTGGAAGAGGCTGCCCAGGGAAGCAGTGGAGGCCCCATCCCTGGAACTGTTCAAACAACGTGTAGATGTGGCACTTTGGGACATGGTTTAGCAGGCATGGTGGGGTTGGGTGGATGGTTGGACTCGATGATCTTAGAGGTCTTTTCCAACCTTAATGATCCTATGATTCAGTTAGAAGCAGTCACAAGGCAGCTTGTCTGATGCCTGCCAGCATTATCCATCGGGAGAAACGGCCGGCTTTTGTACCAGAGGCTTTTACAGCACCTCAAACCTATCGCAGGACAACACAGACAGACTTGCAGAGTCACATTCTCCATGGTTGTAAACCCAGAGGAGCAGTGAAGCAGGTAAGAGTTAAGGTAGCTGAAGCTTTAAGAATAGGAAGTACATATCACTAAAATAATCCTAGCACTTCCAAACTACAAAGAATTATCAGAATCAGAAAAATTTCTGTGTTTTAGGGCTTTCAAGGATAAATGTTTTATGGCTGCGGATCTTTCATAATAAACATTACTGCAATACCTGGAGGTAGCGTCTCCACGCTTTGTGCTTTGTCCTCCCTGTCACTGCCACGCACGTCTTTCCTTTTGGGGTCGATATCATTTGGGTCCTCCTGAAAAAAGTACATAATCTTTAAAATAATTACCTCAATTGATTGAATTCCATGTTTTCAAAGAAAACAGCAATAACTAAGTTTTTTGGATTTCAAATGCATGATGTACTCCAACAGAGCTAACTCTGGATTTTAAGAGAAAGGATCATTATTTCCTCCATTACTTGAAAAACACAAAACACAGAACAGAAATTTAAGACAGGCTTTTGTGTTTAATTTATGCAGCAATCCTTATTTGGGGAAAAAAAATGTTTAAGAAGGAAAGGTATTAGGAAAGATGGAATAGAGGAATTTTGGTGGGTCGGCTTCCATTATGCATTTGGAAGACGCAAAGAAGAGCATAACTTTTTTTTTAAATATATATTTTTAATATAAAAACCAAGATAATTAGCAACTGTATGCCGATTTGTACACTCCACTTTGCCAACTGATATAAGTGCCATCAGCTGCTGTTGTTCTTGCACACTTGCCAAAGGAAATTCCGCTTCCTTTCCTACAGAAGACGTCCCAGTTATAATACTGGTTTTATTTGCACAGCCTGCTAAAGACAACACCTTCACTACATCACGTAAGAAGACACGCCGATACTAATCAGTAAGTACACAGTTCGTGTCTCTTCGAGGAACCTGTCAGAGCCCCCAGAACAGGGCGATGGGGTACAAACTGCGACCTGTCTCTGCCACCCCAGCTCCCAGGCCACGCCTGGCAACTCTTTGGGTAGAACTGTAAGCAGCAGGAACAGGCCAGACTTTCTTTGGGGAACACCTCGACCACAAATGATCTCATTGCAGCACGTCCCCAGGCACATGAAATTTTCCAATGTAAATTCAGCTGAAGCATCTACCTTAAGAAGGCACCAATACTGGGAAATATGTTGAAAACAGGCATCTGATTTCTAAAATACTGAAATGCAAAACTGAATACTGATGCTTTTTTGTTATTGTCAATCATTTTCAGAGAAAAAGAGCCATATGAACTAAACCAGTTAAAAACTGAATGCTACAAATGCATGTTATGCACAGCATTGCAGATGTCAGAGAGAAGGAATTTGTCCATGTTCTTATGCTACATTTCACCATGTTAGCACCTGCTTTGGGCTCCGGGGTCTTGTGGAGGTCAGTAACTTTACTTAAAGAAAGATTTAAGACAACAAAACCAAAACCAAACACACACACCCATTAATATCTTATAATATAAATATATAGAAATAATATATTATTATTCCTATAAATATCACAAGGGTCTTCTCTGGAGATATTCAAGACCTGCCTGGACGCAGTGCTGTGCAGCCTGCTCTGGGTGACCCTGCTTGGGCAGGGGGTTGGGCTGGGGGATCCCCAGAGGGCCCTTCCAACCCCTACCATGCTGGGATTCTGTAACACCCCCCTCAAAGCACACCTACTCCCAAAACCAGAGCACACAGTTCAAGAACACGATCACGGCTCATGCTGGTGAGGGCAATAATCTGCCACTGCACGCTGAGTCCCTCCAGCACAGCAAAACAGAAGCTTTCTGTGGTTCTAGAAAGTTGCATTTCACTAGTTCATTGGCTTTGTCCATCATTTTAAAGACAGCAACACTATGGAAACACTTAATAAATGCAACTATCAACTGCAGCTGGAAGAAAAATCTTCCCAGTAAGAATGTCAAGTTTTGCAAAATTTCACAAAGCTCTTCTCTTTCCCAAATTACTGTAACGAGTCTGAAAAAATACATACCTAAGTTGAAAAATAATTTCAAAACATCTATTAAGCAATCAAAAAAATTGCCAGAATTTCTCCTGTAGTTAAATAAAAACTATTGAGTGCTTCCTCATTCTCTCTCTCCCCTCCCCTTTAAGTCTTTAGGGAACAACTCTGCCTTGCCATTAATCCTTTTAGCTGAGGAGCGTGTGCCATAAAGCGTAATTATTTACCAAGTTCTTTCACTTTGTTTTT